GAACAGAGTATAGGAAATTTAAGCCTAAGTTCAAGCTCTCAGAAAATGGAGATTTTGGCAGCAAGCAACTAAGAGGAGTTTGGTAACTTCATGAGTGCAATAAGCTAAACCACAGGCTAGCTACTTTACCAAAGAGAACCAGATAGTTAAGAAGAGCCAAACCTCAAACCTCAAAGACTAGCATCAAAAACTACACCTGCAAAGAGGCTCAAATGTAATTAGAAGAGACTGGAGAGCAATTTATGACCCAGGGCATTGTTAAAAATAATAGAGCAATCAGTTGGCAATTAGTGGAGGCTAGCAGCTGGTAATATCAACAGAGACATCTTAACAGAACAGGGAAAGGGACAGTCAGAGAGCCCTGCTAAAACTACTGTCTTCCCAAGGCTAACTGTGCACATGCCCAAGGCTACACTCTCTGAGGAACAAAACAAGAGGTTTCACACTGCAGGGGAAATAGATTTCACTAGACTAGCCAGGCACATCACTAAATGAATAAACAAGCAAACAACAACAAGCCCCAGTGCAGTGGTGGGGGGAGAGAAGGGGGGTTAGGGAGAATAAGTGTCCAGAGTTGCTACAATATATTATCTAAAATGTTCAGTTTTCACCAAGTTTAAAACATGCAAAGAAATAGGAAAGTATGATCCATACACAGGAAAAAAATCAGGCAACAAAAACCATCTGAAAGGACTCAGATGTCAGATTTAACAAAGACTTCCAAGCAGCCATTATAAATATGTTCAAAGAACTAAAGGAAACCATGTCTAAAGAAGTAAAATAAAGTGTGATAAAAATGTCACACCAAATAGAGAATATCAATAAAGAGATAGAAACTACAAAAAAGCACCAAATAGAAATTCTGGAGTTGAAAAGTACAATAACTGAAACAAAAAAATTCACCAGAGGGGCTCAACAGTAGATCTTAACTAGCAGAAGGAAGAATCAGTGAACTTGAAGACAGGTTGACAGGTATTATGCAATCTGAAGAACAGAGAGAAAATGAATGAAGAAAATGAACATAGCCTCAGAGAAATGTGGGAGACAATGAAGCACACCAACGTATACATAATGCGAGTACCAGAAAGAAGAGAGATAGGAGGAGAAAAAATACTTAGAGAAATAATGGCTGAAAACTTTCCAAATTTGGTGAAATACATTAATCTACATGTCCAAGAAGCTCTACTAAGTAGGATAAATGTAAATCCACACCCAGCTACACTGTGGTAAAAATACTGAAAGACAAATACAGAGAGAAAATCTTCAAAAAAACATTAAGGTCTTGATTGAATAAATTATGTGTCCAGGTATAGAATACTATGCAAACATTTAAAAGATATGTAGATATATGTTGCTGATGCAGAGCAATGTTCCATTTTGTGAAGTGAAAAAAAGCAGGTTACAAAATTCTATACAATATGATTATTTTTGTAATAACAAATACACTTAGATAGGTATGTAAAGCACCTACCACATTAACTGTCAACCAGAGAGTAAGCACTCTATAGAGGGTAGTTATTCCTGGTTCTGTTGCTGCTGTTGTATTATGTCCTTTTTAAAATTGAACAGGCCAGACTGATATTATCTGCAGAGTTCGTATCAAACATTTCATGATAGTCATTGAAAAAATATATCAATACCGAAGTCTATTGCACCTGACTGAAATGTTGCCCTATCTTAGCTTCTGTTGAGCGAAAACAATGACACCAGTGTTCATTCCCCAGGAAGGCACTCCCTGTCCCACAGCTTGCTTCAGAGCTCACACAAGAACTGCCCAGACCAGGGGCAGGTAAGAGAAATGGGCTCTCTTGCTCCAGAGCTTCCTTCACCAGGAGGCAGTTGATGGGGCTGCTGGCTGCCAGCTACTTGCAGGCCTCACATTACTATAGGAACTGCTGCCAAGTTGGCCTATATTTCTCCCTTTCCCAAATCTTTCACCAGAAAATAGGCTTGTTCTCCTCCCTACCCCCTTTCCCTGTCCCCCACAGGAATGCTCTCCTGTGAGGACACTTTCTTAGTCCTGGTAGGCCAGGCAGGTGCTGGTTCCTCTGTGTTTTCTTCTACCAGTAGCTAAGCCTTGTCTGACATTTCTGCCCAAGATGACCAAAGCCTGACTCCAGTGTTGGGTGTGAACTAGACTCCTCCAGTGTCCCCTACCCAGCCAACCCCCAGACCAGATCTCTGAGGGCTTCACAGCACAATCTGACCTTCCTACTATTCCCACCACCATTCCCTCCACTTAAATCACCCAAAGAATATAGGGCCACAAGATCAAAGAGCCATCTGGTTGACCTCTCACAACAAGATAAATAAAACCAACAATAAAATATTCTGTTTCCTTTCTGTTTAATTATAGTACCATTATTCCAATTGCATTGTTCTCTATTTGTTTCTCCTACCAAAATAATAAATTCTAACTATTCATAGTTTAAATCAATTTAAAGAGCTGGCCTAGGAACCCAACTCATATATCACATTTTTCCTGTGGGGAAAAAAGTGTTCAGCAATGCTTATACAAATCAGCTACTGCCCTCAATGAACCCAATTATCCTAACTTTCCAAATAACTGTTTATAAACTTTTGGAACCTAACCCACTTTTAAGAGAAGGACTTCCTGTACTTGATTGCCATAAATAAATGAATCCCAAAAGGTTTAACAGATTGCAGAAGGAGGATTAGGTTACATATGGGCAAACAGATGAAAATATAATTAGTATTATACCAATTCTTCTTTAAGCATTATAAATATAATATGCAAAGCTATTAGTGCTAAAGCAGAACACCTGTCAATTATTCATGAGTGTTTCCAATCCTAAGAAAATATTCCACAGTAAACAGATGCTACACACTGAGATTCAGAGAAAAATTCTCAAACCCATTCAATCTAATTTCGTTGAGTGTCTCCCAAAGATTATTCATCACACTTATGTCTCTGCCACTATAATTAATAGTTTTCTGTTATTCTTTACACTTTAGGTTCAGCAATATAAATTTCATTACCAGATAAGCCCATTTGATTCGATACAACCAAGGTAATTACTAAATTCATAATAAGGTGGTTATTTGGGGTCAGGATGATGATAGATCCTTAGCTTGTACTTGCTGAATAGTTAATAATCTCTGCAAGGAGAGCTGACCTAACGCTCACAAAAATATGTTAAAATTCTCCTGCATTTTTATATTCGGGGAGTTTTGGCTTTTTAAGTTTTATCTGAGTCAGATGTCATTTTTGTAAGCTTAAAACATTATAGCAATACTATCTGATATTCCCATAATTCTTTATGCAATACTAGGAGCAGTTTTTTAAAAAAGACAGACACAACTGAGACAAAAAGACTCTGTGATTTACTCTGCTCTCTGTGGGTTCTAGTGCCTCAGTTTCCTAGGAGACACCCATCTGATTTGCAAGCAGATGTGGATACCTGCGAAAGTGCCAGCTTTCTTGCTACATGTAATTCCAAAGACTTAAATGATGGGCTTCATAAACTAATTTACTCAATTCAAATGACATGATGTAACATCTTCCTGAGATGCCATGTAGTCATAAATCATGAAGAAATTATATGCTTGAATCTATTTTTAAATATCCTTATATAATTAAAAAAATTAAGTGTGAAAACAGACGGAGGTATGAAACTCAAATTCAATCCAAAGCCCAAGACTGATTTTCTCAAACTGGAGAAAGGTACTCCAAAAAGAGCAAGAAGACTTCTCCTGAGGGGCAAGAGTCCTATTACTCTTGATTTTATAGCCTAAGGGCTATTATTACACAGCCATTAGCAAATAGCAGATGCTCAATAAAGCACAATTTTAAAAAATTCATTCCGCTGAACATACCTTTGTGCTTTTCGTCTATTTTTGTGTTTTTGTTTGTTTGGAGGGGGTTAGGGGAAGGTGGTGATAGAAGAAAGATGGTAGGTGAATCGGAAAAGACCACCAGCAAAGAAACAAGCTAATGAAAAAATGCATTGAAGAACATAGAAATGAATAATCACAAGAATGAACTGAAGGGACGGATGGATGGGCATCTGCCATAGCCAGATCTAATCTGACAGTGTTCTCTCCCACTGGGGAGGCACCAGAACAAGAAAAGGAGTAACCACCCTCAAGAAAATCCCAAGGCGTATCTCCTACTGTGCTTAATTTCCCTAACCAGAGAGAAAAGGTAACTTTCTACTTTATCCTCTGTAGAAGAATGAAGCGGCACAATCTTTCACATTGCTCATCTTTGGAAGCTCAGAACTACTTAAGTTGATTTGCATACAATAATTATTTACTTAATTAACAAGCTCTCAGTTAGATTGTCCCTTCAACTCTTAACAAGCCAAAAATTACATAAGATTCCTCTTCAAAGGAAAAGAAATTTCCCCCAAATAGGATCTATTGCTAACAATAGAATGCAATTTTCCACATGGCTTCTGCACTGCGATTTAAACTGGTTCCATGACGAGGAGGGAGAAATTTCTTTGGTATAAGAGCTCAGAGAAACTGAGATATCTCAGCTGCATCTATCTCTGAAAACCAGAATTGTTTTTATTTAAATTTATCCTTAAAGCTCATATCTTTAGTAAAAATTCTTAAAAGCAACAAGAAGAGAAAAAATTTTTAAAAAGCTGAACATTCCCTTCAGAGGTGGAAGTTAATCTTAAAAAAAAATAAAGCACAGTGTTTAGAATCACAAATGCTTTATGTAATAGGCTAGCAGAAAGATATCAAAATTTAATGTTTATGATACATTAAGAATTTTCCCTTGTGGTTCAAGAAGAAAAAATCCAAACCAACCAATTAATCTATGAATAAAGAGAATTTCTGAAATCAATTTAATGGAATATAGCAAGTTCCAAATCCAAGACCTTCTTTCACTCTGGTCCCAGAATGACTCATATTTCAAAGGGATAAAGCAAATGGATGTAGTAAGTAAATAAGCCTAAAAACAAAACGTATTGTTCTCTCAGGGCAGCAGACGCATGAGTCATCGGACTAGCCCACTGTCCACTCACCAGATGTCCGACTTTGTGTCGTAGCCTTGGTGTTTCAGAGCCTCCGGACTCATGTAATGGGGAGTTCCAGTTAAAGTGGTGGCTAGATCACAGGATCCCATTAAGAGTCGAGAAACTCCAAAATCCCCTTGAAATAATAATTAATTTTTATGAATACTTTATAACAACAAAAATCAGCACTAGAAATTAACAACTGTCTAATTTGACAATTTTAATAAGCAATGATTCATATCATTTTAAAGGGAAAGAAAAGTTATATATTTTAAAATAAAAAATGTTGGTGAATAGCTTTAAAAACAAAGACTTACAGGAGAAAGAAGACTTTGAGCCAAGAAAGTGAATTATGTAAGCTAAACCTTTTTATTTCTGGAATTATGGAGAACCAGCAACTTGAAACAAAAAGCTATTTCAAGTCTGAATAATAACAAACAAAATGATTCCAGCAGGGCTGAATATAATAATTTGCAATTTCATCTGAGGGGGGAGAGTTTGCTCTTCATTTACAATCAAGAAAACATTTTAAATAAAAGACCTGAGACTTTTCAAGAACATGACTATAAAAATTTGACTCCATCAGCTTCTCTCTACTTGCTTAATTAGTTGTATGCTTTTATGCCTTCCCCTCTAAGAACATCTTACATGAAGGTTAAACAACCCAGGAACTGTTATGAGTGGAGGTACAGTTCTGAAGGAGAACTAAAGGTTAACAAAGCCATTATATCAACATTTTAATTATCTGTGATAACTGCTAATTGCTTTTGTTAAAATAAGTGGGGAAATCTGTAGTCATCAAAATAGTAAAACAAGTCTAACCAGTTGCAAAGCGGCATGGAATAGGAACTCAAAAAATATTTGTTAAACCTATCAAGTATATAGCAAATTTATATCAGATAATCAGAAACAAAATCATTGAGTTTTGTTGGGCCCAACCAAGTAGGAACAAAAATTTGAGAACTTTAAATAAACCAATGATTACTCTAACACTTCTAGGTACTCTAGACTCCAACTTGATATATCAATAACGTGTAAAATATACTCTCCCATGTTTTTAAAGTACATATTTTTAAAAATCTTACCAATTTTAAGTAGATTATTTTTCAGAAATATATTCTTTGATTTCAAGTCTCGATGAAGTATCCTCCTACAAAAGGCAAAAAAGGATACACAATTTCATGCAAAATTTAAAAATTTTAAATCCAAACATAAATAATATATATGGGTGTATGTGAAGTGATTCACACGTAAATATCCACTCCCATAGATATATCTTTCAATGTTTGAAAGCTACAAAGCCACAACATTTTCTAGTTTCTCTGAGGAAATAGTTTTAAAACAAAGGTTTTAAAGGCAAGGGAACATGTAGTTGGGAGAAGGGTGATGTGCTTTCAACTATTTCAATAGGCCAGATTTTACTGTGTTTTTGTAGCATGATCTACATAGTACTATATCCAATAACCATACATCCAGTTCACAATTATCATAAAGCTTTATAATCTATTATACTTTATATATAATCTGTTATATATTATATCATATGTGTATAATCTCTTGTATATATTATAATCCAAATGTTCAGGTTTTATATATTTGTGGAAATAATGTTGATGATGATATTTAATAATAGATCACATTTATTATGTTTTACTATAAGCCAGCAATGTAAATTAAGACTTTTATTTCTAGAATTATGGAGAACTAGACAACTTGAAAACTTTTGCCAAAAAAAATCCACAAAACAATGTTGAATAAAGTATACAAATATCTTCATACACACACAGGTGAGTCCACAGGAAGATGAAATAAATCCCAGGGGATTATCCAAAAAAACCCTCAAAAATCAGAGCGGGCAGTAGGTGCTGATTTCTCAGCTGCCCCAGGGGGTTGTTCTGGTCTCAGTAACTCATGGGCTGGCTTTAATGTCCTCATAGAAACAAGAGCCAAGACCTTAAGCCCATGTAATATGGAAAGTTGGGACTAATATTGTATGTAATGTCAGAATCTTACATGTGATCCATACCTTACGTGAAAGTATGATTTAAGAAACATTCACTCATGAGTAAACACAATGATAAGAAAAATGATAATATATGTACAGGTCTGAACTTCGAGCGGAGAAAAAAATATCTCCCTTCATATGTTGTAACCACAGCTCTCTGCTCACTCACATTTGGAATCAAATATGTAACAGCTGTATGGCTCCAGAAATTCCAAACCAAGAAATTAGCATAAAAATTGGTTCTCAGCTGCTAATACCCTCTTGGGGCATCTGGCAGATGCAAATGCAAACTAACAGTCAGCAGATAATACATAATAAAATTAAACCCCTGAGAATTTCAGATAATCTAATAGGATACAAACTATAAGTATATTTTAAATGATTAAAATCATTAAAAAAATGAATCTAAAACACAAGATAGAAACAGGATAATATCCAAAAAGGGATGATGCTGATTTGAGAAACAACCAAATAGAATTTCTAGGGGAAAAATGTGATTATGGAAATAAGAAACTCAAGATTAAGACCTCAGCTTCTAACTATGATGGAGTAAGCTTATATCACACTAAATCTCCTACTTTCCACAGCTGCATAGACAGCACTGTAAAATTTAAACAGTGTAAAATCTAGATAAAATTTAAAAAAAAAAAACAGCTCTTCGAAGATATCAGAGATCAGCTAAGGCAGATGAAGGCAGTCAGTACTTGAGGGGCTAGAACCTGGAGAGAAGGAAAATGCACTGAGCTGAGTCAAACATTTCCCCTTGTGTTTTCCTCTCCGAGCATTTGGCATAAGCAGAAAGCTGTAGCCTAGAGCTTGCAGCAGTTTCACTGGACTAGGTAGACAAAAACTGTAGTTCAGAGCTACCAGGACTTGAGGGGCAAATTTTCCAGAGAAAAGAGAACAAAAGAGAAGTCTGGCATTCTGCATGGATTTTATCCTTGAGGCACTTGCTGAATCCTAAGCTGCTCAGGAACAAGACATTAAGGAGAAAGCAGCTGCTAAGAGGCTAAAAAGCTAAGCAGAGCTTTCAGCAGATTCACAAAGCTGAGGAGGGGTCTTGGTAAATAACTAACTTGGTAAAAAAAACCCTGAAGGACTACTTAGAAATAAAGGCAAACTGGAAATAGATCAGCCCTCACAAAGTCTGAAACCTAGCCTTAAACTATCTCAGCCCTGACTGGATCAAGGTGATCCGGCTGTACTGTAACTACTAGCCAGAAAAAAAATTAAATCCTCTGCAGAGGAAGATAATATCATCCAACATCTCTACACTATTTTACACATATTGTCCAGCATTCACTCAAAAACTACCAGGCAAGCCAAGAGATAACACCAAATGACCAAAAACCAAAAGAAAAAAAAAAAAAACAAATCCATAGGTGATCCACCTATTGGAATCATTGGACAAGGACTTAAAAGTAACTACGATGAACATATTCAAGAAAATAAATGACACAATGATGAATTTCATCAGAGAACTAGATTCTATATACAATTTTAAAAAGAATTGAATGGAAATTCTTGAATTGAAACAAATATAATTACTAAAATTAAGAATTCAGTAGATATGTTTGAAAGCAGATTATACGTAGCAGAAGAGAGGATTTAGAAAATGGAATAATAGTTAGTGAAAAATATTCAGACTGAGGGACACACACAAAAAAAGGTGAAAAACATAGAAAAGAGTATAAGAGACATTTTAAGTATGGTTAAGAAGTTCTAACATATGTGTAAATGGATCCCTAGAAGGAATTCATAGAAATGGCGACTAAAATGTGCAAGTCCAACATACATCTAAGAGACACTCTGAAAGGAAAGAAGAGAATAGAGATAAGACAAAATTCAAAGAGATAATGGGAGAAGGAAATTTCAGAATTTAGAAAGACATAAATTCACAAGTTCAGAAGCAAAACAAATATAAAGCAGAATAAAAAGAATAAAAAGAAATACACAACTAAATGAAACCCTCTAATGATGGAGAACACCAATGACAAAGAGAAGATATTGAGAACTAGCTGAAAGAAAAGAGATTACCTTAATAAGCGTGACAATTAGATGGAAGGTGACTTCTCAACAACAGTAATAGAATCCAGAAGACAGACAGATAATATTTTCAAAGTGTTAGACAAAATATCTGTGAACCTGGAATTTTATGCCTAATAAATAATAGGTAATATATTAGCTAAATATAAAACATTTAGATAAATTAATAGCTAAATTATTATAAAAGAACAAGTAAAAAATAAAGACATTTTCAAGCAAACAAACCAAAAAATTGATAGTGTTTACCATTCACATAACTTAAGGATTTATTTCAGGGAAAATGAAAATGTCACAGAAGGAAGGCCTGGGTACAGGAAGGAGTGGTGAACTGAGAGATTGATAAATACAAGGAAATTTAAACAAGTGTTGGCTTAAAACCAATTATAATGGTAATGGTAATCACTAATTTGTGGAGTATTAAGAGAAAATAGAACTGAAATTCTGAATAACAATAATATAAAAGGAAGGAGGAACGTAATTGGAATTAAAGTCTTTGTAATGTTTAAGAAAAGGGTACATATATTAACTTCAAACTTCATTTATTCAAGTATACATTTAATAATTGAAGGGTAGGGCCGGCCCTGTGGCTTGGTGGTTAAGTGCGCGCGCTGCGATGCTGGTGGCCCGGGTTCGGATCCCGGGTGCGCATCGAGGCACCACTTCTCCGTCCATCCTGAGGCCGAGTCCCACATACAGCAACTAGAAGGATGTGCAGCTATGACATACAACTATCTACTGGGGCTTTGGGGGGAAAAAATAAAATAAATAAAATCTTTAATAATTGAAGGGTAAACACTAAAAAAATAGAAACAAAATGTCTAACTATCAAACTAAGTAGAAAAAAAAAAAAGGGAATAACAAAAACCTGACCAATCCAAAGAAAGTAGGGAAAGGAGAAAAACAAGTATAACAAAATAAAATGGTAGAAATACATTCCATATATTGTTAATCATGACAGACTAAAATCATCAACTATTTAAAAAAAAAAACTTGTTATAAAGAACGCCCTTAAAACATAAGGACAAAGAAAAGTTGGAAAGTAAGAGGATAGAAAAGATATTCTAGGCAAAAGAAAGCTGGCAAAAAGCAATATTAGGTAAATTAAGGATAGAGAATATCACTACATAATGAATAAATCAGTAATTTGTTGGGAAGATTTTAAAATTCTATACTTGTGTACAACTTATGACACAGGCTTAAATATATAGTGAAAAATTAATATTAAAAGAAATTTAAGGAGAATTGACAAATCCACAATCATAATGGGAAATTTAACATATCTCCCTCAGTAATTAGTAGATTCAGTAGACAAAAAATTTTTAAGGATATAGATTTTAGCAACACAATTTTAGATTTGAAAACACAGTTAGCTTGAGCTAATGCACATGAATTGAATATTGCATCAAAAAATTTAAAAATGCATGTTCTTTCAGGCACACATAGAATATTTTCAAAAACTGACAGTGAACAAATCCATAAAGCAAGTCGCAACAGCTTACAAAGAATTAGCACCATACAGTACACACATTCTCTGGCCTCAATGAAGTTAAATTAGAACCCAACAAGGTACTTAGAACAGTGCCGGGCATTGGCAACGACTGATCAAGACAGACAAATTCTCTTTTGATGAAACTTCGTTCTGGTAAAGTAAACAGGCAGAAAACAACTAAATGAGCAGATATATAATATGTCAGCTAACAATTAATACTATTAAAACAAAAAAGTAGAGTAAGGGGCTCGAGACTAACCAGGGTAGGGAGATGCTAGTTAAGCTCAGGCAGTCAGGGAAGGCCTTAGAGAAAGTGACATGAGAGCAGAGACGGGAATGAAGCGAGGGAATGAGCCATGGTTGTGACTGTTATTGTTATTGTTCATATTGCTAATGCTATTGTTACCACCAATATATCAAAAGGGAAAGTCTGCGTGAGGCTATCAAGCAAAGAAGAAAGATGAACAGTGAACAACAGAGCAGTTGAGTTATACAGAGCACCTCAAAGGAACAGGATTGAACTACTGGGAGGGGTTTAAACCACACTGTCCTGCCCCCTCCCTTCCACACCCCACCTCCTGCTTAAGACCCTCCCTGACCCTCCTGCTGG